TACTTACACAGTGTTCAGAAAAAGGCAAAACTATAGGCATGGAGCATAAATCAGTGGTTGCCAGGGTTAGGGCTAGGGTATCGTTGACTATAAAAGGGGAGACTTGACGGAAGAGGTGATGGAACTGTATTGTGTCTTGATTGTGGTGATGAGTTTTGTTTGTTTGTGGAGACAGAGTCTCACTCTGTCACCCAGGCTGGAGTGCAGTGGCACGATCTTGGCTCACTGCAACCTCTGCCTCCCAGGTTTAAGCAATTCTTGTGCCTCAGCCTCCCAAGTAGCTGGGACTACAGGCATGTGCCACCAGGCCCGGCTAATTTTTGTATTTTTTTGTAGAGACGGGGTTTTGCCATATTAGCCAGCCTGGTCTCAAACTCCTGGCCTCAAGTGATCTGCCCATCTCAGCCTCCCTAAGTGCTTAGATTACAAGGTGTGAGCCACCATGCCCAGCCCTTTTTTTTTTTTTTTTTGAGATGGAGTCTTGCTCTATCACCCAGGCTGGAGTGCAGTGACGTGATCTCAGCTCACTGCAACCTTCACCTCCTGGGTTCAAGTGATTCTCCTGCCTCAGTCTATCGAGTAGCTGGCATTACAGGCCCGCAGTACCATGCCCAGCTAATTTTTTTGTATTTTTAGTAGAGATGGGGTTTCACCATGTTGGCCAGGCTGGTCTCGAACTCATGACCTCAAGTGATCCAACCACCTCGGCCTCCCAAAGTGCTGGGATTAGAGGTATGAGCCACTGCGCCCAGACTATTATTTTTTTTAAGAGACAGAGGCTCACTATGTTGCCCAGGCTGGTCTTGAGCTCCTGGGCTCAAGCAATCTTCCTGCCTCAGACTCCCAAAGTGCTGAGATTTCAGGTGTGACCCACCACACCCAGCCTGTGGTGATGGTTATGGGAGTATGCATTAATAAAAACTCACAGAACTTTAACTGTAGAAAACTGTAAAGGAGTGAATTTTACTGTGTATAAATTTTGAAATAAGTTAAATTAAGCTTTGGAATAAAGCTATCACTAAACACTAAATATAAAAATAACTATACCCAAATATGTGCCTTCTACACAATTTGTTCTTAAATGTACAAATATACAATAATATATTCATTCACTTGGGAAAACTAAGACACTGGAAGCAGAAAATAATCAATGATCACTTTTGGGTAGTGGGATGAAATCACTTTAAAAAACTCACCATTATGACACAGTTGCTCAGTGCTCAGGTAAAGGTCTAGTATTTAAGCAGAGGAGGCCCAGGAGACTTTTTGTTGCATATACTACCTGACAATTTCTAAAAGGACACTTCTTAAAACTTTATGTCATAAGAAATACATTGCCCCAACAACATCATGTACCTGTGATGGCATTATAGGAAATAACATTATTTGCATTTTATTTTCTACCAAGTTTATATATTACTTTTTTAAGTATGGAGAGAAAGAGGGGATGATAAGTTTAAAAACACTACCTACCACAAAAAGCACAAAACCCTTTGAGCAGTTTAACACTCTGACATTCTATCCTGTTTCTTTTACTTGACACAAGTAACCAATTCCAGTCTCCAAAATACAACAAATCTAATATGGACTGGCCCTCCAACAACCACCACCTAGGGGGCAGTCTCCAGGGTTAAAATCCACATTTCCCAGACTCCCTTGCATCTAAGATTCTGGGTATAATTTAGGTTGCACCATAGATGCACTGGCAAGACAGACGGATTTGGTACTAAAGGCACCCTGCTGGTGGGGTTTGAGGGAGAGACAGCACATTGGAGCCACAGGCAGAATGGTAGCTTCCTACTTCCTAATGGTTTCTCATCACAGCAGGGACGGCAGTATCCTTAGCTGGCCCATTCTGAAGTGTGACTGTCAAAGTCACAATCTTGGAGGCCCAACCTGTCGTGTATTTCTTCATCTTCCCTAGTACTTAATGTTTCAATAAGCTTTCTATTCAAACAAGCTAGGGTAAAACAAAAGAAAAACTAATATATACCATGCTACAAATCTGTAATTTTGTTAGACCATAAAGGCAACAAAAAAATCATCTAACAGTATTATTACTGTTATACTCATTTTCATTGTTAATTTTATCTAATACCGATGCCAGCCTCTATGTTCAAGTATACTGCACTAACCTACGGTTCACAGAGTTATCTTCTAGTCCTGTGTTAAGTGCCTAGGAGTGCTGTAAGTTTCACACCTCAGTGTTTACCATGCTATCTGCTCTTTTCTCTCTTTACCTATTAGAGACCCAGCAGAAATGCCAGTTAACTCCATCAAGCATCTCCCACTTTGGCACACTGAATCCTTTTTAATATTCCTATATACTTGTTTATGTACTGACAGAAATAATTAATTATATTTTACTTGGGGGTATATTTCAATCTCTTGATTTTAACTATGAATTAATTCCTTGAAGCAAAGACCACATTCAATTTTTGTTGCATGCCTAGTGCCTTTTTGCAGGCCTGGCATGTTACAGGTACTCAGTAAATACCACTAGAACATAGAATAAGGTATTACATTCAGCGCAGGGAAAAGTATTTTCACTTTCGGTGTTTCTCACCTCCTACTCCTTTATCAGATCTGCAGGTTTTATTTATCTTTTTTTATTATTATGCTTTAAGTTCTAGGGTACATGTGCACAACATGCAGGTTTGTTACATATGTATACATGTGCCATGTTGGTGTGCTGCACCCATTAACTTGTCATTTACATTAGGTATATCTCCTAATGCTATCCCTCCCCCCTCCCCACAATAGGTGTGTGATGTTCCCCTTCCTGTGTCCAAGGGATCTCATTGTTCAATTCCCACCTATGAGTGAGAACATGCGGTGTTTGGTTTTCTGTTCTTGAGATAGTTTGCTGAGAATGATGGTTTCCAGCTGCATCCATGTCCCTACAAAGGACAAGAACTCATCCTTTTTTATGGCTGCTTTATCTTTTTTGAATTTTCATTCAGCCTCACAGTGTAGACTTGATTCACTAGGTTTTATTCTTTGCAATTTCTATGTAGCTGTAGCTCTATTATAACTGTTATATTAATAACATTGCACTATTATGTTATTCTGACCATCTGAAGCTAAAAGCCAATGCATTTTAAATTTTCAGCTGCGCATCCTACAAATTTAAATCATGGCATGTAACAAGTTAAGTATGAGGGAAGTTTTGCCAGAAGAACAAATTATCAGTGACACTAACAGTTTTAATTACCATGTCTGGGATTTAATTTATCAACCCATATTGGTAAGTAATAACTTGGGTCAAACAATTCAGTAAAGATGCAGCAACATAAAAGGCAGGCTACTGACTCACATCAAAAATGTAATAGTCTATAAAGATTCTATTTTTGTAATTTAAAATAAAGGATGACTTCATAGAAAGCTATTTATGAAAATCTCAAGTGGAAATTTCACCATTTCAAAGAAACCGTAAGTTTAATTAAAGACAGTAAGTCCATAAACACAAAGACAAAACACAGTACATACTATAGTAGACAAGATGACCTGGTATTTACCCCACTGCATGGGGTAAATAAGTGATGAATGTGTTAATTGTGGTAATCATTTCACAATGTATATGTATATCAAATCATCATACTGTATACCTTGAAAATAAGTATTTTCTACTTGTCAATTATACCTCAGTAAAGCTGAGGGAAAAAAAATTTTAATAATAAAAAATATACATAGGATACTCAGGGGTCCCCAATCCCTGGGTCACGAACTGGTTAGGAACTGGGCTGCACAGCAGGAGGTGAGTGGAAAAGCCAGCGAAGCTTCGTCTGTATTTATAGCCACTCCTTATTACTCCTATTGGCCCCTGAGCTCTGCCCCGTCAGATCAGCAGCGGCATTAGATTCTCATAGGAGCGCAAACCCTATTGTGAACTGTGCATGCGAGGGATCTAGGTAGTGTACTTCTTATGAGAATCTAATACCTGATGATCTGTCTCCCATCTCCCCCAGATGGGACTGTCTAGTTGCAGGAAAACAAGCTCAGAGGTCTCACTGATTCTCCATTATGGTGAGTCATATAATTATTTCATTATATATGACAATGTAATAATAATAGAAATGTGCACTTGCACAATAAACGTAATGCACCTGAATCATCCTGAAAGCTCCCTCCACTCCCAGTCCATGGAAAAACCGTCTTCCACAAAACTGGTCCTTGGTGCGAAAAATGTTGGGGATCATTGCTCTGTATCATTAAGAATCAAAGATCAAAAGCCCATAAAACAAATTCTCCTACTGTGCTTCAGAGGTCATTTCATTAAGGGTCCGCATCAAATTCAGGCTCAACAATTAGTAAGACAACTAGAAAAATACAGAAAGCTTAAAGCAGAACAACTAGTCTAAAAGCAGATATCAGATTGTTTAGTGCAAATGGTGAGAAGAGCTGACCATATTTTAACTCAGAACTCAGAGAGAGGTAAATAGGATAAATTAATATTGCCAAGGTTTACACCAAGAACACAGGACTTGCTGAGAGTGTGGGGTTTTTTTTGTTTTGTTTTGTTTTTGAGATGGAGTCTTGCTCTGTCGCCCAGGCTTGCTCTGTAGTGGTGCAATCTCGGCTCACTGAAACCTCCACCTCCCTGGTTCAAGAGATTCTCCTTTCTCAGCCTCTTGAGTAGCTTGGGCTACAGGCGCGCACCACCACGCCCGGTGAATTTTTTATATTTTCAGTAGAGATGGGGTTTCACCATATTGGCCAGGTTGGTCTCGAACTCCTGACCTCGTGATCCACCCACCTCGGCCTCCCAAAGTCCTGGGATTACAGACGTGAGCCACCATACTCGGCCTGATATTGTGGGTCTTAATACAACTAGTCCTCCGAATAATTATCAATTTCTCCCTTTACAAGACTAGCCTTCATTTTACTTTGAGCAGATAAAAGTTACAAACTTGCTAAATGAATACTGTAAGGTTTACCAGATTTCTAAAACAGAATATTCCCATCTCAACATTTTATTTTACTCATAATTTTCTACTTACAAAATCTTGCCGTATGTCATTGAAGTCTTTGCCATATTTTTCCAGTGCCTCTTCAAATAAGCTAGCTTCAGAGGCTGACCATTCCTCCATTTCATCTCTGCATAAAACAGGTCCTCCGAGTGGTACTAAGACACTAATGGCACTGCTCAAATCATAGCTGTGTCTATACAATGTATCCATAGCGTGAAACTAAAGAAACAAAATGAACAGAAAATATCAACCAGAAATGCAAACATGCTACATTATGTAAGAACAGAAACACTAAAATATATGATGTACTTAATTAACGATATACTTATTTTTAACAAACTTTAAACAGATTACTAAATAATTATTTAAGATATCATTTATTGCCTTAGAAAATGCAGACTTGTACCCTTATTTGGGGGGAGGGGAGCACCGGGTCTCCCTCTATTCTCAGGCTAGAGTGCGGCAGTAGCCTCGACCTTCTGGGCTGAGCAACCCTCCTGCCTCAGCCTCCTGAGTAACTAGGACCACAGGCATATGCCACTACGCCTGGTTAGTTTTTTAATTTTATATAGAGACGGGGGTCTCGCTATGTCTTGAACTCCTGGGCTCAAGTGATCCTCCCACTACAGCCTCCCAAAATGCTAGGATTAAGTCTCTTTTATTTTTATTTATTTACCTTTTTTTTTTTTTTTTTTTTTGAGATAGGCTCTTGCTCTGTCACCCATGCTGGAGTACAGTGGCATGGTCATAGCTCACTGTAACCTTGAAAGTCTAGCCGGTCCACACATGGTGGCTCACACCTGTAATCCCAGCACTTCAAGAAGCCAAGGTGGGAGGATCACTTGAGCCCCCAAGTTTTAAGACCAGTGTGGGCAACATAGTGAGACCCTGTCTCTACAAAAATAAACAATTAGCCAAGCCTGGTTGTGCACGCCTATAGTCCCAACTACTTGAGAGGCTGGGGTGGGAGGATTGCTTGAGCCCAGGAGGTTGAGGCTGCAGTGAGCGTGACTTATGCCACTGCACTCCAGCCTGGACAACAGAGTGACAGCCTACCTCAAAAAATAAAAATTAATAAAAATATCAAAGTCACTTCAGCTCTTGTGCAAGGTATACAGCACAGCCATCCTTGACCAGGGAAACATATACAGATTATGTATCAGAGAGTGAGAAAAAAATATTCTCAGGTTGGGTTAAGGAATCATGTACTAAGATGGAAAGAAAACAATGGAACACAGTATGATGTTTAAGACAAAATTATAAACATGATGCACAGAAAAAGCAAAACAAAACAAAGTTACATATTCATGTTAATATGGTAACTTGGTTGAGGTTGTAGAAGACAAAGAATAGATGGCCAGGCTTGCTTGGAACAGCAAGGCCACTGTGGGTTTCTTATATATTTCAAGGGAGAGTGATTTGAAGCACGATTTGAAAGGAGAAAAGATAGAAGACACAATCGCTATGACGTTGAACTCCTGGGCTCAAGGTTACTTTTGCAAAAGTAACTTAGGTCTAGCTTACTCAAAAAGCATTTTCTGGCCAGACACAGTGGCTCACGCCTATAATCCCAACACTTTGGGAGGCCAAGGTGGGCAGAACGCTGGCACCCAGGACTTCAAGACCAGCCTGGGCAGCACAGTGAAACCCCATCACCAAAAAAAAAGAGAAAAAAACAGGCATGGTGGCACATTGCCTGTAATCCCAGCTACTCAGGAGTCAGAGATGAGAAAATCACTTGAGCCCAGGAGGGTCAAGGCTGCAATGAGCTGAGATCATGTCACTGCACCCCAGCCTGGGCACCAGAATGATGCCCTATTTTTTAAAAAAAGAAGTCATTTTCCTCCAATCAGAACAATAACTAGGTTCTAAAACTTCAAGTTTTGAAAAACCTTTTATTTTCCTACTGGAAAGAGAGTCATTCACAGCATGTACATACATGTACTTGTAGTATAACAGGAAAACTGAAAAACAGCACAATCAGCTCTGCCTATGTTGTAGATTAGCACATAGGTGCTGCAAAGTGATCTAATTCTTGCCCAAATGAGAACTAGTTCTGTTTTTCTCCCCACCTCTCAACCCCACCCAGACTTTCTAACACATGAACTTCAAGTCTTGCACCTTTTACACAATGTATCTCTTGCTATTTATTAAAAATTTCACAAATGGGGATAGCTTCACTTCTATGCAACAATAGAACTCTTAAAAATTTAGCTTTTGCCATAAGTTGTGCATCTCCAAGCCCGCTACCAGTCAAGGTCTCAGTGCCAGCTATGCCACTGCAGCTGTCACTATGGCCCATGAGAACACTGCTAACTCCAAGATCAAGCAGTTCTGGAGGTGCTTAGAGCTCCAGGGTGCTGAATGAAGGTGCTGGTAGCCTTAGAAAAGAACCAGAGAAACCTAATACTGCTTTAGTTTTTTAAAGCATCACTTAGGAGTTGCTACCCTAGAAAATCCAGAAATAGAACTGCTTTCCCTAGAATTGACAGAAATGAAAGATAAATATGAACCACCTCAGGTGAAGTGTGCAGGATAGAATTCTTCTCAGTTGAAAAGACACTAAAAAATGGTTTTGTATAACTTGAATAGTTTGTATACTACATAATCTTTTCTAGATAGATGCTACAGAATTCTTTTAATATGTTACATTCACCTATCACACTTTACTATTATAAACACACTTAGAATCATCTATAAATACTCAATATAAATTGTTTTGAATCTTAAAGCAGAAGAATCCAAAGTGAGAAAAAAAAAAAAAAACTAAACACATCCATCTAATTCATTACCCTAAAAGATATTCTGTTTATTAGTCTGATGAGGAATTATGGTGCTGTTTGTATTTTTGCCAATGAGGTTTAGCATGGAGGTAATCCTTGGTGTAGCTTAAAAAATGAGCACAGGTACAGCCATTCTTTAAAATGAAGAGGGCACTGTTGTTTATATTTCCTGTGGGCAGCTGGAGAGATCTGTGTGTCACAAGATGCTTCTGCATGGGTTCCCATTAATTTTCTGTTCTTGTTTATATAATGCGGAACAAATAACTCTGCTTTGCCACCATTGTGCCTTAGGTAACTGTGCGTGCCAGTCAGAAATCTGACACCACGTTTTCCTTCTAGGCTATCATGCCCTATCCGATCATCTTTCCTTGCTTCGCTCTGTGCTTTAGTGAAGCCTAGTTGCACATTGGCCTTTCTGTGCTGTTTTCAATTCGCTTAATGATAGCAGTTACACCAATTGTAACTTATATAACCTTAAACAGAATCACACTGTTCCCTGCCTTACTTAGTTGCTTAGTTGAGCACAGAACAAAGGCAACATAAAATCTGGGGTTCACGCACAAGTTGGGATGAGAAGGGGAGTGAGCCATAATATCATGGAAAATTATACTTTCTAAGTATAATCGCAGTGATGTTTCTCTCAAAGTATTTTTCTAGCCTTGAATTCATTTTACCTTCATTATTCCTGTGAAGTAGGTAGGGCAAATACAAGGGGAAGCTGGGTGCTGAATTTTTAGGTCAAAGATTGATATTAACACAAAGTATTTGCTAACTGTAGAACCTGGGGCACCACATCAGTTAACTGCTGAGACTCACTTTCCTTGTTTGTTAAATGAAAAAAATATCCGTGCTGCCTACCTCAGAGGCCTGTGACGGTCAAATGAGAATGTATGTGAAAGATCTTTCCTTATTTGTATTTTTTTAAAAATACCTTTTAAGTGATCCCTCATTATCTGGTAGGAGACTGTAGGAGAGCTCAAATATCAACTAATATCTATTAAAGTGAAAACATTATTAGCAAAAGTATGCACTAATATGTATATATATGTAGGTATACACACACACAGTGATGTTATTAACCAAGATAATAATAAGTGTATAGATTATGAATTTGTTCACAGAGTAACAGCAGTATTTAGAACATGTAAACATGTTTAGGTACAGTAAATAAATGCTTTAACAAGGGTTGACATCTCACTTAAAATCAATCATTGGTGCTGGATGCAGTGGCTCATACCTGTAATCCCAGCACTTTGGGAGGTCAATGCAGGCAGATCACCTGAGGTCAGGAGTTTGAGACCAGCCTGGCCAATATGGTGAAACTCCATCTCTACAAAAATTAGCTGGGTGTGGTGGCAGTCACCTGTCATCCCAGCTACTAAGGCCGCCCCTGAGGCAGGGGAATCGCTTGAACCCAGGAGGCAGAAGTAGCAGTGAGCTGAGATCATGCACTCCAGTCTGGGCGACAGAGTGAGACTCCGTCAAAAAGAAAAAAAAAAAATCATTGGATTCCACAAAATAAAACTAGGGATTTCATGATCAATTTCCTAGTTATAATCACAGCAAAGGCCACTGGCCACACGTAGTCTTTTGTTGCAAGTGTCACAACCATGGAACAATTGACTTCCAACTTTCAAGTGAACTTCCTCTCACTCTTCTGCAGCAGAGGTTGGGGGAAAAAAAAAAAGAATTGAACTTGGTTCTTCAGCTTTTGCTCTGCAAATTTCAGAATCAGCTAAATTCTGTAGCTAACCTCACTAGACAGACTGTGCAGTTTAGCTGTAGTATGTACTTTTACACACTTCTACATCAACTCTGAAAATAATGTAGTAGACCCCATTATTCATGTTTTTACTTTCCAAGGTTTCAGTTACCCATAGTCAAGTGCAGTCTGAAAATAGATGAATATAGTACAATAAGATGTTTGTGTGTGTGAAAGAGAGACAGAGAGGGAGCACACTGTATTAGTCTGTTTTCACACTGCTGATCAAGACATACCTGAGACTGGGCAATTTACAAAATAAAGAGGTTTAATGGACTTACAGTTCCACACGGCTGGGGAGGCCTCACAATCGTGGTGGAAGGCAAGGAGGAGCAAGTCACATCTTATGTGGATGGCAGCAGGCAAAAAGCAAGAGGTTGTGCAGGGAAACTCCCATTTTTAAAACCATCAGGACCAAGTACGGTGGCTCACACCTGTAATCTCAGCACTTTGGCAGGCCAAGGTAGGTGGATTGCCTGAGCTCAGGAGTTTGAGACCACCCTGGACAACATGGTGAAGCCCCGTCTCTACTAAAATACAAAAAATTAGCCAGGCATGGTGGCACGTGCCTGTAATCCCAGCTACTCAGGAGGCTGAGGCAGGAGAATCACTTGAACCTGGGAGGCGGAGGTTGCAATGGGTCGAGATTGCGCCACTGCACTCCAGTCTGGGCG